TTAACTACGAACAATTCAAATTAGAGTGTCAAAAACAATCGAGAGAAAAAACTTTAATCTAAGTCAACAACCACAATCGGAACTTTACAACTGATCGTAGATGCAAGTATATATCAATTCATCTTGTGAATATTGGTCGAGGAAAATATTTTCCTATCTCTCCTTAATCGTATTTAATTAGGAAACAAGCAAACCAACTAACCTTAATCACTAAACAACCCAAAACAAGCACGATAGATTTAATCTAGTAACAACATTAATAATTAGACAGATTGATGAAGCTAAACAACACAACTACAGGCGGTTGTAGTAACCTAGTCAAACGTTCTTCCTAAGATTTAACAATCTCTGACGCAGCAAATCATTAAATCCTAGTTGCTTTACAAGTTAAAGGGATCAAATGATTACGGATTCATATTCAACTCAGCTATAGATTTCAGCAAACAATAAACTAGTAGCCTCCTAGTGATTAAATGCAACAACCATGAATATGAGTGCCAAAGAAAATTCAATATTAAAAACATTAATGAAACGTTGAAAACAAATTAGATATCACAGTTAGATTGGTTCTGAGGCTTCAATTTTCTTTGACCAAGTACGAGGAAATTTTCGTGAGTACGCTCACATCATTTATGAAGATTAGTGGGGTTTCAATATTTAAACCTTCAGGCCAATAGAGATTTGAAAGTTGCTCCAAACTTTGATTGTATGTTAGCTCTATGGATTATGTTGTACTCAATATTCCAGTTATGTCCATAATAATCTTAATTACAAATCATCCTCATCAACTTCACTTTCACCTTGTACTTGAAAAACTTGTAATTGTCAACATTTTCATTCAAAGATTATAAATTGCACATTTAATTAATAGAATAGATTATATAACTATTTAAATACACAAGACAATAAATTGAAAAGAAAAAATTACTTAAATATGATCAACAGTTGGGAGAAAAAGAATCGAAGATTGTAGAAGTTATCCATCAATCTTTAAAATCTTATTCATTAATCTTAATAATTAGGAGTTACAAACCCTTCCAATATTTGTATTCATCCCACTAAATACAAGCATCTCAATTACATATTTTTCACTAAAACCAAGTTTTAAAATATAAAAATTAATATTATGTGTTCTAAAATATGACTAATATAGTATTGGGAATTTTATTACTATTGCATGTCATTTTTGTATAAGCATAAAAATTGATGGTAATCCATTTACTTATTAAATATAAATATATGAAGAAGAGAAAAAGATTTTTATCTCGATAAATTTAAAAGGGGAATTTTTATTCCTCCATTTGTATTAATCCCACTGTAAAGAAAAAGAACACTTTTGTTTTAAAATTTTTCACTTCTATATTTGTTTTGAATGTAAATTTGGTTTTTAATATAAAATAAATGCTATGGATTAATATGACAAGCATGATTAGTAGGTAATTTTTTGTTTCTAAATGTGTTTAAATAATATACATTTTTGTTTTACTTTTTAAGGTAAAAGTTTATGTTACAGATAAAATGAGTAATTTTTTATTTTGGAAATTACTTATGTATCTTTAGTTTACTTGTAAGTAAACATTTTAAACTTAGTGAAATGTACATCTCTTAATTTGGTTCTCTTTATATCTGTCTGTACCAAAAACTAATCGATGTCACTATAATGGTTGAAAATATGGGTCCAACCAATGCTAACATAAACTAAGAAGTAAACAAAACATTGCATTTTAATTTATTTAATATTTTTACATTATGTAAGTAATTTCATAGACTTTTAGTTTATCAATTACCTTATTTTAAAAATATTACGGATATCATTTATTTCGTATATAAGACGTGTAACGCACGTGCTTACAACTAGTATTTAACAAAATAACGTAAAATTGTGTATACGATAACCAATGAAATTCAGCCACGTAACTCGTAGGACTGCCTCCTGACTCGTGACCCGATCCGACAAAGAACCTTGGTGTTCGGACCCGATCGGAAAGCGTACAAACGTTAACGCCGTTATGTCTCCTTTCTCTTTTCCTTTATTTTTCCGAAAAGGAAAAGTGCAAAAAAGCAATTTTCGCGAACACAATCAAAGACCAGATTGTAGATTAGATCTGGCTTTCTTTACCTTTCTTTTTCACACTCTAACACACACACTGTTTTCCTCTCACTCTCACAGTCACCAATCTTTGATTATCAATCAATACTTCTAGATCTCTCTCTTTCTATCTACTTCCCATTGCCTTTTACACTCATGGTCATGGAAATGTAGCTGTTGTTTGCTTCAGGTACTGCATTTTGCTCTGATTTCTTAATTTTCTTTGATGGGTTGCTTTCTTGGGTAGCTCTTTCGTGGGTCTGTTTCTTTTTTTGATTATCTTGAACGATTTATTTATTTCTGGTGTTTCAGTGTGGTATTTTACTCTGATTTCTTTGATGGGTTGCTGTTTTTTGGTAGGAATCTTCTGTGGGTCTATTTATTTTCGGTTTTAGATTCTTGTCAATTTCTTGCGTTTCTGTTTGAGTTTTGAGAATGATCTTCAGCTCCCTTTGTGTTTGCATCTGTGTTTTTTTCCCTGTTTTCTTGGGTGATGATTCGATGGAAAGGAAGGTTGAAAATTATGCATGCTGATGGCGAATTCTTGGTTTGTTTCCATTTTTAGTGGTGTCGCTTTCATGTGTGTATATTATAGCAAAAATGAATTTGTTTTCTTTGAGAATTAGGTGGTAATAGAATACTATTATTTTTATCAAGGACTGACCAAAACCAGCACAATTAATTCCTTAACTATGACAGGATTTGGACACATCTAAATTGCTGGAATTTGAATTATCAGTTGCGTAATAAACAAAATAGTCTTGCTTTTACTTTGATTTTGACTGATCTGATTTCTCAAAGCATGTTACTGTTGTTAAACAAAATTGACTTGGTCCATATTCAAAGAGATGCATTAACACTATTAGTTAATTTATTTAGATCCGTGAACATTTTAGTTTTCTGCTAGCCTTATTGTTAATTTTTCTTTTAGTTAAATCTTTATTTTACGAACATATGTGAATAAACGGGCATTGTAGTAGAAGCATACTTCAGAAAAAGGGAGAGCACTGGATTTTAAGATCAACCCTTTTTCTTTCATGATCAGCCTGTCTATTTTAATAACCATATACTCCGTATGTTAGTTTCTAGATTTAGGTGATTGTATGTGTACTTATGCATGATAATTTGGATGAGCAGATAGGCGACGAAGAGTTGTGAGGCGCATTGGGTTGAATATCTACCTCTTGAACGAAATCGAAGGGAGATTTCAGTACTCTGTGCTCCACACTTCAACACATCAATGGGGTCAGAGCAGACTCGATTTCTGCAGCCTCAGCAACCACCTGCACCTCGGGTATTTTGATTTATGGATATTCATGTATACGTGCACTAAAAGATGTATAGATATGGACCTCCTTAGGAGTCAATTTGGTGTGTTCACATGTATGGGAAGATTTTATTATCTTGAACAAATCTTCAAATTGTTTTTATTTTTATTTTTGCCTTCCCTTGCGGTATTGGCTTAGTTGGTTACTCGTCAATTTTCAATTTTATGCTGCCTTGATATCTGGGGCAAGATGTGGTGGGTCTGATCTTATTAAAATGTTATTTAATGATGACCAGTTGCACTTTGATAGTTACCCTGTAATTCCCATTCTATGATTGGATTGGATTATTACTGAGAAATGCTAGAACAGAAGGAAAAAAGTTATTGTTCGAATCAATCCAAAATTTATGTTTGAGATCTAATATCTATTGCAAAAATATAACAATTTCTAGCATTGCTTCTCGTAGACAGTAACTGGAGACAGCTTGATGTGTGTAAGCGGTGTAAGAGGAAAGCATCCTTTTGATTTACATATAAAGTAATTGGTTTAACTTTTGATGCTCAGACTTTTCGAAATAATTGGAATATCCGTCTCGAACACGACACAACACGACATGAGTATGGATATGGAATGTATCGGATCCTCCAAGTTTCAATCGAACACGTCGTCGTTTTTGCTTCTCCTTCTTTCTTTTTTTTTTTTT